TTGTAAAGTACCTACATATCGAAATAATACTCAATAATATATAATCAAAAAAAAATACATTTTTAAATGATGATTACCCCGTAAATAATAATATAGACACACCTGAAATTTCCTGATCTGACAGATGTATTACCCTGTGTCGATTGCGATTCTATAGGGTATGATCTAGTTCTGAGAAAAAAGACGTAATTTGGTATTGAGAACTTAATAATTCGCCCTCGTATTATATTGAAACGAAAACTATATAAATTTTAAACTAAAATATCGCGTCAACTAATTAAATAAATCTCCGTGTCGTTTTTAAGTTTTATGATAATTTCATTGTCTCCACAGTTGAATAAACGAACGAAAAACAATTAAAATAATTAAGTCACTCACTTAGACAAAACTCTATTTTTTAACGCTATTTTATGGAAGCTTTTAGCGATAACGTTCTCCTGCTAACTAATAAACGACCAATTTATTATGCTGGTACTTTTTTTTTGATTGACAGTGTATTTCTGTATTTATCTATAAAGAGAATAGTGTACTTATACTTGTTTTAATATTTTTAAATGTTAATGTTTCAAATGAATGCGAATGAAATTATTAAGTTTAATAAATAAAAGTTAGGATGTTAGATCTATTCGACAATATATGGTGTCATAAGGTAATAAAAATGTTTTTGTTTTATTATTGACATAATCACAAAACCTTGGTTTGTTGTTTATCTGTATGATGCATTATTTGGTTTAGGTATATTTTTTTTTATTTTTTTCTTTATATATAGTAATGTAAATATATATACCTTTTTTAAAAAAATTCAAATTTCACAGTTTTTGAGTATAGCCCAAAAAACTAAACCAGTTGATTTTTAGATATTTATTTGTAACCGTTTTTAAAAAAAGATTGTTGCTTTTTTAGGCATATTTATCACTCTGTTGTCCATTGATTTGTTGAATATAGTTTTTGATTAATGGAGAAGTACATAGATATATCACACGACAGATTGATGAACTCCATGTTGTTCCATATGGACTATAAAAATTACAAAGAACTTCTAATGCTCCAAAGTCTCCGGTCTGGTAGGACGAAAGAAACTGTCTCGTCTCGACGAGAAGATGCTTCTCTCGTGATGAAAACATCAAATTTAAATTTTGAAAAGATAAGAATTTTTCAAGTAATTTGTCTCCTTAGTCTTGGAAGTCAGTTGGGAGGAGGGGGTTATATTGGAAGTTATAATTTTTTCTGATGCTATCGTATAATAAAAGCATTTTGTAGCTGTTTTCAATAGTTAGGACGTAAATTGGGCCCCTTTTAACTTTAAAACGAGATGCACTTTACTTGAGGCGTAAAATAGAGGGCGTTACTATCTTTATATTTTCTAATAGAAAGAGTCACGTGATACCTTATTTGAAGGATATTTTCATTATTTTTACGTCCATTCAGTTTTATTTTTTACAAAAATCACATTCTTATGCCGCAATAACCTTAGAAATACTAAACAATATTAGAAGCAAATTTTCTAAATGGCTTTTTTATTGCCAAGTAGTTATAAGAGAACATTTTGAACAGTGGCGCCTTGTGATAAAAAGGGTTTTCACTTTTTTCCAATACTTTTATCGTTTGTAAGTTCAGTTCAAAACTTTGTACAAGCACCAATATCGCTGTTGTTTTTTTTTTTATTTGAGTTTATATTAAGTGTAGTTATTATTATCATCAATATCATATTGTTTGCAAGCACTACAACTATTAATGAATATTTTATTTATTGTAATATTATTAGTTTTGTTTTTAATACGTTGAAAACCACTTATAAACATTATTATTTATAGTCAGCTGACTTTTCTTCATAGTTTGAGATTATTTTTAAATATATATCAGGTTATATACGCTTTGTACATTGATTTTTGTGTAAAAAATATTATATGAAACTTAACCTACCGCTTTTCGGTTTTTATTGTAAATTTAATCATTTTTACAAATAAAATAATATATTTTTTAAATACCTTTTATTGGCAAATAAACCAAGTGAACTAAAATATTTATTTTATAAGATCAGTCCCATCACAATACATTACCCAAATACAAACCAGAATGAAGATGTATAATGCGTGGCATTCTAAACTATACTCTTCATAGTTTAACAAACCTCACTTAACTCCCATTTTCAATCAGATTTTTTTTCAGAATCATGAGGCTTCATCCCCTTAAATTGAGCTTGATTTTTTCCAAAAATTTCAAGTTGATATTATTTGTTTTTGAGTTAGAGTTTTTTTTATATTTCAACCTCCCTTAACCGGGGGGGGGGGGGCACTTTTATTCAAATTTATTTCACAATAAATAGGCCTCATCTTCTTATAGCTTGATTTTTACTAAACATTTCATGTTGTTATCGCTTTTTGTTTTTCGTATTTAATTTAGGTTTTTTTTTTAAATATCAACCCATCATGATCTCCTATTTTTAATCAGATTTTTTCAAAATCAATAGAGGTTGTATTTTGCTTAAAATTTTCAAGTCGATATCATTTTTCGTTTTTGACTTATCTTGTAAACAAAAAACGTGACATTGAACAAAGTAAACCTATATTACTATTCACAGACTACTGTGTGAGGAGTATAATAATAATATAATCAAGGCTAAAACAATAACATATAAATATAAATGATAAATGATAAAGGGGTCTATTCTGTAACAATTCCTTTATATTTAACGGCCTTTGAAAATATTGGCGGCCTTTAAAAGTATATTTGTATTCGTTAATTTACTTCTGTCATTATTTAAACAGATTTCTTTAAGATAGTCCTCTAATGTTTTTTAAAGATCCGTTTAAATAGTGACCGAATTAAAGAAGAAAATATTTTTAAAGGCCGTTAAATATAAAGGAATTTTTACAGAATAGACCCCAAAGTCAAAGTTTTGAAAATTATTTAATGGGTAAACTGCAGTGATTCTAATCAACTTTTTAGTAGAGCATACTGAATGTTGCTTGGACACTTTTGTGTTCCATATTTACATATATCAATTGTATTTCGACAAGAAATGCAGTTAGCTCCAATTACTGTCACAATATGTAATGTTTACTAATAATCTAACTATTAAAACTTTTTTTTAATATACATGACTTGTTAGTTTTGGTAGGTACAATAACATATTTCTATGTTCTGATAACAATTTTTCTATGACATAGTGTCATATATCTCTAACATGCCTCTATAAATAGTACGAAACTATTTAGTTTCTTGAATTAATTTAGCCAAGTGCAATATTATTTTTTATATCGTCTTTAAAAAAAACTGTAATGTAAGTTTAGCTTCCATTTTTTTTTTTGTAAATGCATGCGACACCATCATTCGAGTTAAATCCTCATCGCTACACTGTTTATCAGTACATCTAGCATTTATAGATAGAATATATTTCTATAACTTCAAATTCATTAGGGACAACCTACAAAATAAAACAATTATTCATACAAAAATGTACTAGGGTCGAGAAATTATTCTTCGAATAAAATATATAATTAAATTGTCATACTTGTGAAATACCTTCTGGTACAATGTACAATGATTTTTCTTGGCTGGCAACTGCAATCTAAGATCTGTTTAAAGTTAGGTAGTTTATATCATTGCCATAAGTGCCATTTCTTGATGGAACTTAGTCATCGCTTAATTTTGTTGGTTTTACTATAAAAGAATACCGATGATAATGTATCCATTTACGCAGTTTTCTGTTTTAGAGTTGGGTATAAAACACATGGCTATTTTGTAGAAACTGGAACAAAACAAAATATAAAAATAACCTCAAAAATAATAGTAAATGTTTTACCTAGAGCTTGGAGACGTGTTTCATTAACAATCATTGAATTGACACACATACTTCCGATTTATTAAATTCGCAATTTATTTAAACACGGTTTTTAAATAAACACAATTAAAATTGATTTATGGTGAATTTTAGAGTTTGACTGCTAGATTGGAAACATCGAGATAAAATAATGTAGAGAGGAAATAAACACTATTTTGCGAACAAGTGAACGCACTTTGAGTCGTATTTTGATTAATTTGACGTTAATTTTATATTTGAGGATTGATTGAATCAACATGTTTTTATCATTTAGGTCATGCTATTTAAAAAAAAATGGTATTTATTCTCACTATAACTGACTAACTCCACTTGCTCGAGTTTGACATATGACGTAAAACTGTGCGGACTTTTTTAGTATCGTCATAGCATCTCCTCTTTATTTTATATCAATGATTGGAAATTTCGTATGCCCCGCCCTACTTTGTGACGTCACTGTGTGCGTTGCGTGGATTAAGCTGATTTAAGTGATTTTACGTTTCAGGGATCTGTTAACGTGGGACATCTCTTTTTAACTAAATTCTTTTAAGAACGCTTTTCACTCCTTCGGGTTCACTTATAAAAGAGCGCCACGGAAACGCGATTAGCTAGAACGCAGTGGCGTACCCAAAAATAAATATTGACACGTATGAAAATAATAAAATTATTAAAATTGAATTAATATTTTTGTTATTTATTTTAAAATAATGTGTTTTTATTAAATGTAACTGGGTGTTCACTGCACAAATGAACCAATGGAGAAACCGCCCCTGGCCAGAACAAAACACACGGTGGTCAGTAATCATGACATTTATTTCCTCCATCCTATTTATACCCTTTTAGCACCATAGCTCCACGTCTGCACAATTTCGGAGTGGGAGAAGCCACCTCCAGTTTTGAACTATTTACTACCGATGCAATAAAAAAATGTCCTTCGTATACCTTGAGCTCAATCTAGATAATTTTGCATGAAATTCAATATTTTAATCCGAATATAAATTACGGTACATACGAGAATATTTTAAACTACGATGGTTCTCTCAGATATTCAAAATCGGCAATTACCAAAATACCCAAAATACGAAACGCTCCTCGGCGGAAATTAATTAAAATATAAATTTTTATAATTAATTAAAATTTAGTGACTTCGTCACAGTCTGATAAAATGTAAATTTTGCAGGAAGGTAGCGGTAAAGAAGAAAACAACGTAAACAGGTTGTCGTCAGAAGAGAAAAACCAAATGACCAGCAAACCGAAATTCAGTGGTACGGATATCACTAAGAAACACAAAATGAAGTTCGACGAACCGAGAAATACGGATTTCGAAAATCTATTCGGTCCGCCCATCAAGAAAAATAGCAAATTACCGGAACCGCCGAAACCCAGGGACCCCTTGCCCCCGCCCAAGCCCCCCAACACCGACAAATGTAAGTAAAACGAGTATTATTTTATCTTTCAGTGAAATTTAAAGGTTTGCCTTACTTTTTGACTCCCTGTATATCCCAGCGAGCAAGGAAACGCAATATACTTTCAGTGCAACATCATTTGGGATTTTGTCTTGAAGACGAGAGTTATCCCATACAATCAATGGATTTTTTGGGTTACCGAGATATATAACAAAATCCCTGATTTTTTATTAAAATTCCCCCAAATAAAATCAAATATCTTATTCTCTACCCTTTAAAAACAATACGAAATCAAAAAACAACAATCAAACTTAAGACGGTTCTACTCTATCATTGTTTCTTCTTTTCCATATTCCAGCTTCCGATAAAGACAAGAGTGACAAATCTAAATCGAATAAGAGCATACACAAAGATAAGGACAAAGAAAAACCCAAAGAAAAATCGTCAGACGGTTCCGAGAAGAAGAGCAAAGAAGAAAAGCGGAAATCCAAGGACGATAAAAGCAAGGATAGAGAAAAGTCTAAAGAGAAGAGCTCCAAAAAGGACAAGGAGAGGGAAAAGTCGCCTATGACGAGGCCGAGAAGTCCTTCTCCTAAAAGGTTAGGATCTTCTCTAATAATTCCTTCTATATAATGATAAATCCGTTTCAGATCACCCAAAAGAGACTCCAGCCCTCCTCCGACACAAAAGCACAGTAGCACCAAAGATAAAGAATCCAATAAAGAAGAAAAAAAGGAAAAGGATCGCGACAAAGATAAAAAGGAGGATAAGAAATCGAAAAAGGACAAACGCGACCACAAGGAAGGCAAGCACAAAGACAGGGAGAAGGACAAAGAGCACAAGGATCACAAAAGCAAAGATAAGGATAAAGATAAGGACAGCAAGTCGTCTAAGGACAAGGAATCATCTAGTAACAAATTGAAAGAGAGCAGCCCATTTGCAGCCGTCACTAATAGTTCTCAAAGTGCACACAAGGTGACTCAAACCGTAATTTTTTCATTACATCATTCTCTATCTATTTTTTTTGCAGACTGAAAAAAAGCCGAAAGAAAAAGACCACAGCAAGGATCAACCGAAAGACGAGGAAAAAACGGACCGAATAGACAGAGAAAAAAACGAAAAACCCGAAAAGAGCCGTCAAGAATCCGAAGAAAAGGAAAAGGACAACAAAGAAAAAGACAAGGACAAAGACAGCAGTAAAGATCGACAGAACAAACACAAACACAAAAAGAAGGACAGGAAGGAGAAGAAGGAAGAGAAACATTCCAAAAAGGAGGACAGGAAGAACGAGAAGCCAACGTCGAGTTCGGTATCGAATTCCAATTCCAATCCCGTCGTCAAGGACGTATCGAAGGAATCGATTGTTCCCCCGCCTCCGATACGAGAGGCGGCCGTCGACAAAAGTAACTTGTTCGGTAGTCCCAAAAGCGATACGCCCTTGACTCCCAAGGAGTCGGAAGTCAAAATCGAGAATAATACACTGTTTTCCAGGTAATTTTATTTATTTATTTATTTTTTTTTTTTTTTTCATAGACATTGGAAAAATGATCTTACTAAGGCTGGTGTATCGTTTTTACTTAATTTGGTTACGTGATTGACCCTAAAATTTATATTATAACGTGGATTCTATAAAGGAAGCAAAACCTCGCCCCAAGTTGGGCGCCAACGTGTTCACCGTTTTTAATTATTAATGCTTTCTACTGGTGTTGGTTGTGTGGTTGAGTTCAGTATTGATATTATAAAACATGGTTTTAAAAGATTGACCAGGCAAATTAATTTCAGGAGGAGCTTAACCTGTTCGCCTGCCAAATTCTATTTTAAATGAATGTTTAGACAAAATTAAATGGCAAAAGTAATTAGAAATAAGACACAAAAAATATTTAGTGTTGTCGAGCGATACCAAGTTTTCTAGAAAACTTGGAAAAAAACTAAACATAGATGCACTGTTCATATAAACGTTTCTGTTACCTCTAAAATATCCTTAAAAAAGGAAAAGTTAAACTAAAAGCTATCCACTCAAAATTGACACATTTAATAAATGAAAAAAAGGTTACAAAGCTGCGAGTTTGTATTTTATAGTTATTATTTTTGTCATTGTGATTGACTGTACTTTCCTGCGAGGCAGCCGGAGTGCAGAGAGTTCGAGAAGTTCTACTTTTTTTTTCAGCTCCGCTAGTTTGAACGATATATTTAAGGGTGAAGAAATATTCAGGAGTTATTCTTCGGTTTGCAGTGGAGTTCTACGGGGCAAAATTGAATTGTTTGATACGAAATTGTTTTCCGGGACGAAATTTATTTGTATGGGACGAAATTGAGTTGCTTGGAACAAAATTGAGTTCTCCGTGACGAAGAGTTTTTTTTGGACTTAATTGAGTTGTCCGAGACGAAATCTAGTTCTTTGTAACTAAATTGAATCCTCTAGTATAAAATTCAGTTGTCTGGTACGAAATTGAGTGGTATGGGACCAAATTGAGTTATCAGGGACGGAATTGAGCTTTCTGAGAGTAAGTTAAGTTCTCTAGGACGATTTTGAGTTTTTTAGGTGAAAGTAGAGTTCTTCAGCATAAAAATAAGTTATACGGGACATTTAGTCACTCGATACGAAACTAAATAAGTTGTCCGGGTCGAAATTACTTTGCCGGTACGAAATTTAATTCTTCGGGATGAAGTTCAGTTGTCCAGGACGAAATTGAGTTGTCTTAGACGATATTGAATTCACTGGGACGATATTGAATTCACTGGGATGAAATTGATATCTCAGGGACAAAATTGAGTTGCTCAGAACAAAATTAAGTTGTGTGTTATAAAATTGAGTTGCTCAGAACGAAATTGAGTTGTGCCGGACGAAATTGGGTTCTCCCCGTTGAAGTTGAGTTTTTTTAGGACAAAGTGGAATTCAGGAGTTCTCTGGGACGAAATTTAGTTCCCCGAGACGAAATTAAGTGAATTGTTGTGGACGAAATTATTTTATCCGGGACGAAATTTAATTCTTCGGGATGAAATTAAGTTGTCCTGGATGAAATTGAGTTGCTCAGAACGAAATTGATTTCTCCGGGACGAAACTGAGTTGTCTGGTACGAAATCGAATACCGGGACGAAGTTGAGTTGCTCAAGACCATATTTAGTTGTCTAAGACGCAATTGAGTTCTCCCAGATAAAATTAAGTTTTTTGAGATAAAATTGAGTTATAAGTGATGAAATTTAGTTAACCGGGATGTAATTATCTTGTCCGGATCAAAATTGAATTCTCTGAGTTCCTTGGGATGAAATTAGGCTGAATTGAGTTTTTATGTATAAAATTGAGTTCTATGGAATGAAATTAACTTTGTTCGGAACAAAATAGAGTTGTCTGGGACGAAATAGTGTTATTCGGGACGAAATTGAGTTTTCTGTGACAAAATTGAGTTTTCCTGGACGATATTGAATTCTCCAGCACAAAATTTTGTTCTTCGGGACAAAATTTAGTTCTTCAGGACGAAGGTGAGTTGTCCGGTACGAATTGAGTTCTCCGAACAAAATTGAGTTCTCTGGTACGATTTTTGAGATTTCTGAGACGAAATTGAGTAACCCAGTATGAACTTGAGTTGTCCAGGACGAAATTGAGTTGTCCGGAACGAAATTGAATTGTCAGGGATAAAATTGACTTCTACAAGATACAATTGAGTTCTTTAGGACGAAATTGAGTTCTCTAGGAAGCAACTGACTTCTTTAAGACGAAATTAAGTTCTCTAGGATGAAATTAAGTTCTCCAGGACAAAATTGAGTAGTTCTGGACGATATTGAATTCTACGGGACAAAATTGAGTTCTCCAGGACGAAAATGAGTTGTCCAGTACGAATTGAGTTCTCCGAACAAAATTGAGCTCTCCGCTACTATGAGATTTCTGAGACGAAATTGAGTAGCCCATGACGAAATTGGATAACCCAGTACGAACTTGAGTTGTCCGAGACGAAACTGAGTTGTCCGGGACGAAACTGAGTTGTCCGGGACGAAACTGAGTTGTCCGAGACGAAACAGTTGTCCGGAACGAAATTGAGTTGTCAGAGACGAAATTGACTTCTCCGAGACAAAATTGAGTTCTATAAGACAAAATTCACTTCTCTTGAAGAAATCGACTTCTCTACAACGAAATTGAATTCTCTAGGACGAAATTAAGTTGTCTAGGACGAAATTAAGTTATCCCGGAAGAAATTAAAATGTCCCAGAAGAAATTGAGTTGTCCTGGAAGAAATTGAGTTGTCCAAAACCAAATTGAGTTATCAGGGACGAAATTGATTATTCCGGAAGAAATTGAGTTGTCCGAGACGAAATTCAGTTTTCCTGGACGAAATTTAGGCTTTCGCGACGAAACTGAGTTGTCTGGGACGAAATTTAGGTTTTTGGAACGAATTTGAGTTTTGTTGGTACGATTTTTGAGATGTCCGAGACGAAATTAAGTTATCCAGGATGAACTTGAGTTGTTCTTGGGGACTAAGTTATGCTCTCCACGACGAAGTTTAATTGTTTTGGAAGAAATTGAGATCTCGGGGTGTTTTTTGAGTTTTCCGAGAAGAAATTAAGTTACCTGGGACGAAATTGAGTTGTTTAGAACGAAATTTGTTCTCTAGAACGAAATTAAGTGGTCTGGAACACAATTTAGTTGTACAGGATCAAATTGAGTTGTCCGGGATGAAATTGGGTTCTTAGACGAAATTGAGTTGTCCGGAACGACATAGCAAACGACGCCGTACCAAAATTATTTACTTTATTATTCATTTTTACTGTTAAAAATGCTTTGACAATGTTTGTGATTATTTACCAAGTAAAAATATTGTTCTGTCATAGTTGAAAATCTATATTTCAGGGACGACGAAAGTTCAAATGATTCGGTAAAAATGAGCAGCAGAGAGGCTTCCCCGGCGCCCAGAGTGCCTTCTAAGTCACCATCTCCAGTTCTCGTGCCCGAACCGGTCAAAAAACCGGAACCTGAAAAGAAAAAGGAATCTTCACCAAAGAAAAAGGATAAGAAAGAGAAGAAGAAGGTAAGTGCGAGGTCTAAAGTTTTGATTTGAGATCCCATCAATAAATATTTAAATAAAACTGATTTTATAAACTGTATAATAATATTATGTAATTGCAAATGTGATGTCATGACAAGCAGTAAAAAGTATTTGCCAAGGAAGGAACGTATGTAGTGCATCTAAGTCACTACAGTAAGCTAAGGTAGGTAATGATTTGTTTTTATCACAATATGGTTCTCTTTGCAGGACAAGAAAGTCGATAAAGATCACGAAAAAAGGAGGAAAAGGAAAAGCGATTCGACGACGACGACAACAACAACAACGACGACGACGGTTCTGGAACCGGAACCGCCCGAAAAGACTCAGAAAGTGGATGTCGAAGAAATTAACTCTGACGAGGAGAGCAAAGTGTCCAGTACCGAAGACGCTACGGCCATCGTCCAGCCAAAAAGCGAGGTAATTTAATACACTAAACTACTAAATTGTTATTTTAATATTCGTTTTTTCATCAAAAACTGTTCAGGATAAGTATAGAAAAATAAAACGAATTTTACTCATTTTTAGCCATAGAATGTGGTGAAAAAAAAAACAATATATCCGTTTAAAGAAACTGATGTTTTGTTAAACAAAAATTTAAAGATGTTTTTTCTCACCCACTACACTACTGAAGGGTTTATTTTAATCAAAAACCGTTCAAGATGAGTATTATAATAATAATAATAATTTATTCGACATTAAAAAATTTTATATTCATAATTGTTACCTTATAATATAAAATTATTCTCAGTCTTGTCACATTCTTAGCTGCATACGCCCCACTAATTCACAAGCCAAATATCCAAACAAATATAATTTAGATTTACAAATAAAAATTGAAACATATAATTGGTAATTATAAAATCCAGAAACATAGTATTTACATAACAGGGAAAAGATATTTAAAAATATTAACAGTGACTTGCTGTTTAATATTGGAGTTTAAAAATTCTTCTATTGAATAAAAAGCATTTAGGCAGAGATAATTAAAAAGTTTGTGTTTAAAAACATTAAAGTTGCTTGTGCCAAATAACCTGAGAGTATGATTATAACAATTGATACCCTGGTAACTTGCAGAGTTCTGACCGATTACTAACCGGGAGTAGGGTAATCTTATTTCATTGCCCCTTCGTGTATTGTATTCATGAATCATTTTATTTCGCTAGTATTGAGTTTTATTCTTTTTAATATTAAGAGTAGTTAAGTAAATATAAAGACAAGGCAAAGTTAATATACCTAAGGATTTAAATAAATTCCTGCAAGATGCTTGATGGTGACACCCTGCAGACACCTTATCATTTTTTGAGTTATAAATACTTTTAAAATATGTGCGGAGTTACCTCAAGATGGTAACTCATAGGTTAAGACCGATTGTACAAGTCCAAAGTATGCTAACAGGATGTGAAGCTGTTTAAATACGAAGCACATAGTAGATAACCTACAGGGTACGTTATCAGTGTGTGCCTCCCATGTTAGTTTTTGATCTAAGATTACCCCTCCAATATTTAAAATGTTCAACTTGAGCAATGGACTTGTAGGAGCCGCCCTTGATGCCGATACTGTTAAAAAAAAATAATAACAGGTAAGGACCAGGTGGAACATGTAGGGTTATAGCTAAAAGAACCAAAAACTTTTAAACACGAAATATTGGGCGGCAGCGAAACGTGAGCTCCTAGCGAATGTTCAATAAAAAAGTTGTAGATAATGAAAAAATCTAAAACTTGTATATAACGTTTTTCAAACTTTCCGAGACAATGGCAAAATTTAATTTACATTAAATTTGGTGAAAGTTAAACTTTTTTACTGTTAAATATGAATTTTTTGAATTTCAAAAAACTAGTAGTTTGCAAGATATTTATATTTTTCGAAAAATATACTCTTAACTTCCACAGAAAACTTTATTAATGTTTTTTTTTTTTTTTATTTCAAGGTTTTATAAGGGCTCATTTTAAGCGTTGAGATGTGTACTTTCAGATGGTCTATACATGTTGATGGTTTATTTTTGATGGAATTAATAAAAATTGAGAAAAATGAATAAAGTTAATTTTTCAGTAGGAAATTCTCAATATTTTTAATTATTGTTGTAACTCTTTAATTTTTTGTATTCTGTTGTTAATAATGGGTTACGCTTTAATGAAAAAACTTGAATACATGTAATATCACTATAATTTAATTAATGTAATTATAAAAAGGGAGAAAAAACATTCTGAAATTTTTTCATGGTAAAGAATTATATTGTGATGAAAGTCATATGCTGGATGGAGATCAAATTCACTGGCTCAGTGCGCATTTTTATTAACATATATATGTCCGTATTTTTTATAGTAAAGTACTAGAAAGATATGAGTAATCTATTCTGGGTTATTCAGAATAAAATATTTTAATACATAATTAAGTTGAACAATTAATTTATTGGTATTGCTTTTACAAGTTTTACAACGTTGACTTTCTGTAATTTCACAATCGTAATTTTTATTATTTACAAAAAATAAAAAAGTACAAAAATTTAAATTTTAATTAATATTCGGTCTTTTACATTGTGGTAATCCTTCATCGATTAAGTCTTCGAACTCCTAGGGATCTTCGGTTTCTTCAATTTCGATGTCAAGATTTTGTACTGGCTCATAGATTATTTCGTCTGAATCACTTAGTTCTTCAAAGATTTGTTTGTCTCTAGTTGTGCAGTTCTCATGGCACTTAGTGCATAAATTGGTACATTTTAAGCCGTGTTTTCTGCAGCCACATCTTTGTTTATTGCATCCATTTTCACAGCTGCAACTTATTATAGTGATATTACATGTACGTAAGTTTTTCATTGAAACATAGCCCATTATTATCAAGAGAATACAAAAAATTAAAGAGTTACAAAAATAATTTAAAATATTGAGAACTTCCTTATGCAAAAATTAACTTTTCTTCAGTTTTTCTTAATTTTTATTGATTCTATCAAAAACATACTATCAACATGTATGGACCATCTGAAAGTAGACATTTTAACGGTTAAAATAAAAGATCATTTAATGCCATGTAATAGTTAATTACTACATTCTTTATGATAATTCGATTAAAAACATTCAAATTTTAACCAACTTTAGCCAAAAATACCCGCAGTCTCTATATTCATTTCTGTTTCGACTGTCTCACTCATACTCACGAGTCTGAAAAACTGTACTGATACACAGACAATACTAGTTACTTAATATTTTTAATTCTGGTGAAACGATAATTTTAAAGTTTTTCCTTTGAAATACATTTTTTTTATCTTGCTTCTATTACGTAAGTCACGACCTGTGCATTAAAATATCATCCGATATAAATAATTTATTCGTTTTTACTCTTGTGTTTTAGTGTGATATGGAAATGCTGCGTGACCTGCAACACAAAATCATGAGTCTAAAGGACAGCGCCGACCTACAAAGGGTGGTGCAACTGATCGCGGAGACTGGGCAATATGAAGTGTCCGCGCATACCTTCGACTTCGATCTGTGCCTGTTAGACAGGTCGACGGTCAGGCAACTACAAGACTTTTTCGCCACGGTATCGTAGTGAAGACACTCGTACGTCGGTTATTATTGTTTGTAATTAATTTAAATTAATTCGGAACCGTTGTTGTGATGAATCGTTGTGAAACGGTCTGTGCCTGTACCTTTGTACCAGATGGACATTTTTTTAATGTTTTCTTTTTTTTTTTGTTAGTGTTAATATTTATTGGACTTATGAGATAAGCGTAAAAAATGAGCCTGATGAATAGAAGTTCCGGAGTCATAGCAAATAGAACGACGGTGCTGCGCAAATGTCGAAAATTGCGTCGTTTGATAACGGTATATTACATTACCAGGGCGGAAATGGACGTTAGTCAAAAACGCTATTTTTCATAAGAATAGCTATTTGTGTATTAAGAGCGAAAATTGATACTTTGCAACGAACTTTTGGCTCAAAATGCACACAAGATTTTTTTACGATCACATTATTTTAAGAAATAAATATAAAAACTGGAAATTTGTCGTAAGTAGTGTATAATGTGTTGCCTATATCTACGTAAATCATGAAAAACGGAGTTGATATTCAAAGTTCATGTTAACTTGGATAATAAAACAAAAACATCAAACTACATACAAATAACTTGAAAATTATTTATTACCACGTTGATAGACAGTAGAAAAAAGCCGTCGGTGTCAAAAATGACTCTCGTACTTTTGAACAAATTACGGCTCGAATTGTCTTATAAAGTATAGCAAACCACTCAGAATTTGAAAAAAGTAAAAAAATTGTTATTTACAGGAGTTTGAAAGTTGACGCCGATATACGTCCTGCCATATTTGAAAAGGAAAAATTGTTATGACGCTGATAGACGTCTTGTTGAAAATATTATATAGATCAGGGGCGTAGCCAGAGGGGACGAAGCGACCCCCTCCGAATCCCTAGAAAGTTGAGGTAAATATTTTTATGACCCTCTAAAATACTTTTTTATTCAATTTATTGGCAAATATAATACAATATGTCGAAATATGGAACATCCTCTCCATTTCTGGCTACACCACTGAATAAAGCAACAAAGAGATATCAAAAATTGTTTTATTCTCAACGAGCTTAAACAAAGGTTAAGAAACACATAAAAACACGAATATAACTAACTAATAAAAACATTTTTCTTGGGTTACAAAACAATTTGGACAAAGAATGTTTTTCGACACAACTTTATTTCAAAACTTATTCACGACTGGAAAACTAATTTTAATCAAAACCTAAAAAACAGAAAACAATCTAAAATAAGAACTAATAAAATTTTTATTGTCTTTAGGTATGCCATTCCTCAAAGCATATTTATGATATATACACTTAATTCCTGAGGAACATAAGCTGCTAAGTCTAAGCAGTTAAGACGCTAGAGTCGATTGAAATTCACGAAAAATTATTAAAAAAATACTCATTTTCAGCACGCTGCTGTTAATCAGAGGTATTGCCTGAGCAAATTATCGATGCTTACACTTAAACTACTATCTTTCCCCCTCAGAATTCCGCTTTAATAATGTAGTTATCTTCAAAAAGAAAAATTTCAGAGGAAAAGTCGATAAGGCTTAAAAATCGATTTTTTAAAAAGTTTTTATTTAAATAGGCGGAAACGAGTGCTTATAACAATCAAACTCCTGTAAATTTTCTTCTTTGAGACCCTAAGGAATAGTTCCTCGAAGTTACACCAAAATCTAAGATGAGTCAGCTTTGCCAATTAGACGATTTTAAATGGAATGACTCGAATACGTTTCAACTGTCAAAAATATAAAATTGTTACGATATATTTGACGTTCTTAATGAGTGTTAGTTGTCAAACTCGTCAAATTACGAAGCCTTATTTGATAAATACATTTTAACAGTTAAATATAGATACATTATTCGATCATTTTGACAATTACGGAATATTTTTGCTATAGAATTAGACAAATACGGTCAAAAATATCAAGAGTACTGGTAAAATTACATTTTTCGATGTTATTTAAATGGAAAATAGAAAACGAGCAACTTTATAAGTAAATAGTAATAACAGTTAAATACAAGATCTATACATTTCTAGTTAACTTCTTAGCAGTAAAATCTACAATAATTTTTTTACGCATTTACGCAAAAAGTCAATCAGACCTTTTTTGTAGAGCATTAAATTTCCTATAAGGGGTTATTTCGTCATACTTATAAAGTTGCTCGGTATCACGTTACAAAATTCCAAAGTTTAAAAAAAAAATTCCCATGTTATTTAAATAAGAAATAGAAAATTACAAAACGCCACCTCTAAATATTAAGAGCTCATATTTTCACAGGGTCATTTTCTAGAGATACTCTGACGAATTTTCAATGTTCTTTGGAAAAAAATATAGTCGGTTTTTTTGAGACACTCTAATAAATACGTTTTAATTGCCAAATTATGGCACAATAATTTATTTAATAAATATGTTGTAACTGTCAAAATTATCGGATCACGTCTATATTTGACAGTGAATATCGCATCATCATTTGACGATGAATATTAAGGATGTTAAATATATCATTACTTGATTTTTTGATAGTTATGAAGTATATGTCATATAATGCATGGCGATTAGGCATATACGTTATAACTGTCAAACTTATTAAATTATTTGTTAAAACACGTTCGGTGTTAATTTGACAATTAAGTTTTAGGTACATCAAATGCGGCGTCAAGATTTGATTTTTTGACAATTACGAATTATTTAACATGATGCGACGCCATTAAGCAAATACGTTGTAACTATCAAAAATATCAAATCACGCATGTATATTCGATAGTCAATATATATTTATCAACTAGTTCGACATAATTTGACATATTTAACAAATAATATTTACTGTTTAGATTTTTTGAAAGTTTCGATATATATGTCATATTGGCAAATACGTTATAATTGTCAAATATATCAAATTACGACGATATATTTGACGTTCTTAATAAATTTTGTCAAACTTGTCAAATTACGAAGTGATATTTGATAAATACGTTTTAATTGTCAAATACAGTTGGATAATTTTGACAGTTTTTGAAGCATTTGTCATATGTTTTAACTATTAAAAATATTAAACATTTATCTAATAAAGCTTCATAATTTTACAAGTTTAACAAATAAGATTAAGAACCTTAAATGTTTGTCATAAAATAAATTACCATTAGACAATCTCGTAAATGTCAAAAATAACAAATGATATCAATATTTAACGTTTTTGACAGTTAAGATGTATATATCAAATATTGGGTGCTAATTTAACCATTTTGACAATTAAAGTTTATTGAATAAGTTGAATACAGCGTCGTGTTTTGAGTTTTACGAAGTTTTTGACATAATATACAACACGGTTAGGCAAATACATTGTAAACTGTTAAAAATATCAAATCTCTGCTCTATTTTCTTTTTGTCAGTTAAGACGTATATGTCAAATATTGGTTGCTAATTTGATGATTAAGATTTATTAAATACGTCAAATACAGCGTCGTGGTTTAATTTTATGACAGTTACGTATGTATAATATTTGACGTTTTTGACAATTAAGATGTTTTTGTAAATATTTGGTGCTAATTTGACAACTAAGGTTTTTTCAGTACTTTAAATAAAGTGGCGTGATTTGAATTTTTGACAGTTATGAAGTATTGTGTCGTGATTAAATAACTGTTAAAAATTTCAAATGGCGGAGTTATGTTCGACGTTTTTGACAGTTAAGACATATATATTAAATATTGATTGCTAATTTTAAATACGTCAAATAGCATCGTGATTTTATTTTACCCAGTTACTAAGTATTTGGCATATAAAGCGACGGGATTAGGCAAATACGTTGTAATTGTCAAAAATATAAAATGGCGAATCTTTATTCGACGTTTTTGACAGTTAAGAGATATGTATCAAATATTGGTTGTATTGACAATTTGAGTTTATTAAGTGCGTCGAATAGCGTCGTTTTTGATATTTTACGTTTTAGACAGCTACGAAGTATTTATCATTGAATGCGTCGCGTATAGACAAATAACTGTAAAATTTATCAAATCGTCTGTTTTTGAGTTATGTCAACCATTGCGTCATTATTTGATAAATGTTATACATTTGTCAATTTAGATCAAAACAACGAAGCGGATCTTTTTAAATCACACCTAACAATATAATAATTCTCGTTTTATTTGTGTTGACTCTTGAAACTATAGTATTAAGTTTTACAATTTTCGACTGCAGGACTTTATGTAAACATAAAATAAAATGGACTTGGAAAAAATGATGGTCTATTGTACATTTTGATTAAGTTATTTTGTTTTAAATACAGGAGGATGTCAATTTTTTATGCGTGATTTTAATTTCTTTATAAAATGAAGGATTTCTAAATATACAGAAGGATCTTATGTTCTTTGGTTTAGCGCATGTGTTTTTTTAGTGCAATTTAAAGATTCTAAGTTAAAAATGTTTGTGAGATATGTACGTTTAAAAATACTCAAAAAAATTCGTAGCTTATTAGTTTCTATTTATAAAGATTGTTTAATCATAAATGACCTGAAGTTGAAGAAAAACAAAGGTCTTTTTAATCACCCAGATTTATCCTTTACTGCAACCAGTATACCTCAAAGGTCAAATATTTATTTATAAATGTATCCTCATTTGCCATGTTCTGAACGTAACCCTTAATCAGGCCTTGGAAACTATGTTCCCACTCAAAATATAGGACATATAAGATTTCTTTTGTCAGGCTTAGAAAAAATATTTCTTTCGATAAAAAAATCAACCAGCAAAAAATGTAAATATTTTACTGAAATGACTTGCAGGATTAAGAGTTAAATCATTTTTTCCAACGTCCGCGCCTGAATATTTATGTGAATTCTCTGCAATATTTTAGGATGTAAATAATGTAAAAAAGATGGTTTTTCTTTGTTATGCAGTAACCGATTTTACTAGCCTTAATACAGAATGATCGAAACATTACAAACTTTATTGTTATTGATATTAATTGTCTTTGTGGTCCTAACTTTTTATTTTATTTTATGTTAAAAACAATCGTGGAGC